GGGAGAGATGGAAAACAGGGGCTCTGTCACTCCCTCCAGCTGTCATTTCCCAATCCATGACAGAGATTTGGGAGGAAAGTTTCATTCAAAGTTTCATTTCCCAATCCATGACAGAGATTTGGGAGGAAAGGGATAATTGGGGTGGTAGCTGCAGTTTTTAGAATATCCTGATCATTTGAAGTGTTCGTAAGTGGGAAAGACTTGCCCCAGAAGACAGTATTTCCAGGCTCCCATCACTAGCTACTCATTTCCAGGACTGGTTAATGAAATGCTAATGTCATAACATAATTCAGACTATTCTTTAGAGCTTATGTGACTGGCTGCATCAGTAGAGTTTTTTACAGGTATTTGCTTTGTGGTAATTCTCTGCCACTGGAATTGTCTATACTAAATGGTAAGAATATTTGCCCACCTCACAGTGCCCTTCCATTGGCCAACTTACAGTACAGAGAGGCTGTGCCATGAAACAAGTTTCACAGGAAGTAAACCACCTTAGACCCTGAACATACGTATGCATAAGCACTTGTGTTAAAAGGAGGCAGTTATTTGAAGAACCATGGTTTTAGCCAGGATGTGGTCCCTTCAACAGGGATTTCAAGCCCCATTCTGGGAACAGAGATGATGAGGAAATACACTTGGGACTTGGAGTCTGAAGGACGTAAGTTCAAATCAACGAGGCCACTGCTGAATTGTTAAGTTCACCGAGACTCAGTTTCCTCATGAGTTAAAAGGAAACTAATAATACTTAGTTCACAAGTTGTCGTGGGGGTTGCATGAAATGATATATGTAATGCGGGGGTATAGCATCTAGACCTTACATGACCTAACATGCACAGACGATACATGTTAAGACATGTTAGTTCACCCACTCAACCCTTCCCCATCCAAATTCTATCCCAGCTTGGCTATTAATTATCTGAGAAACCGGGGACAATTCATTCAATCTCTCCCGTCTCCATTTCCACTTCTATCAAATTAGGAGGTGGGACTCCATGGCCTCCAAGATCTCTCCCTGTGCTAATATTCTGTCTGGTTAGTGTCACTGTTACGAGGAATGCTTGTTTTTATACATTTTGGTGCTCTCTCTTTACACTCTGGATCCCTCTTTAAATGCCCAGGGCCAGCTCCTTTTAACTTCTACATTTGGGATTCTATGCCACTGGCTCCATTGGTTTCCTCTACTCTGGTAGTTGAAAGTTGTGTATAGGCCAGAGGCTATTCTAAGAACAGTATTAGCGGCTGGGTGCAGTGGCTCACGCCTGTAATCCCAGCACTTTGGGAGGCCTAGGCGGGCAGATCACGAGGTCAAGAGATCGAAACCATCCTGGCCAACATGGTGAAACCCTGTCTCTACTAAAAATATAAAAATTAGCTGGGCATAGTGGCGCACACCTGTAGTCCCAGCTACTCAGGAGGGTGAGGCAGGAGAATTGCTTGAACCCGGGAGGCGGAGGTTGCAGTGAGCTGAGGTCGCGCCACTGCACTCCAGCCTGGCGGCTGGCAACAGAGCAAGACTCTGCCTCAAAAAAAAAAAAAAAATTAGCTTTATCACAGAGCATATCTTCATCACCACTGTAGGGTGGTGTATTATCATTATGATGCCCATTTTAGAAATGAGTAAATCAAGGCTCAAGAGTTTACACAACTTATCAAAGGTAGTGAATTCGAAGCTGGCAGTGTTTTCCCAGTTGTTCAGAATCATTACATGTTACATTCCCCCTCCATCCTATAATGGTATCTGGTTTGAGTTCAATCTCTCTGTGAACTAAGATGAAGCTGTGCTAGATTATCTGATAAATTACCCATATTAATAACTTTCTCTGTTACACCTGCTAGGTGACATATGTACAGATTAACCAAAGACCATCGTCTCTGAACCAACAAAGAACTCATGATGGGATTCCCAGGCCTTGCAGCTGCTAGGTCAAGGGTGAGATTCAAGATGGGCAGAGCTTAAACACATCTTTCAAATATGTGCACTGTTAGCACATAGTCAAACAGCTACTCAACGTAAGAAGCTACAGCACTTTCTAGTGCAAGCCTCAAATCTGCATGATTCTAGATGTCACAAAGCCTTGTCGTAATATCACAGAATGACAAAGGAAAAGGGCTCACCTTTTGGAGTCAGACAGCCCCAGGTCTACTAGCTGAGTAAACCCGGGTGGATATTCAGCCTCTATGAGCTTCTAATATACTAAATAACCTTCAGTAAAATGGGAATAACATTAGCAACTTCAGAGGGATGTTACAGGTATAGAAGGTGTGCCTCGCCTATAGTAGAAACAAATTAGCCCAGAGACAGAATAAAAGAGCTTGGGAGACAGTGAGGTTGATTTCAATAATCAGGGTAGTCTACACCAGAGTAGAAAGACAGAAATCAGAGATTAACTGGACTCTAAATGCCTCCCAAATCTGTGAGACCCATGCCCCACTGACAGCTCGATGCCCTATTATGGCAAAAGCCCTAAAGCCCTAGACTGACTGATCTGACCTCTGACTCTACTCTGCCAGGCCACCTGGCAGCTGCTGCTAGAAGTACCCTTTCAGAAAGGTTCCTGATTGAGCCAACTGGTAGAGTGATATCACACACCATCTCTTACCCTCTGAGCACCATGAGGTTGCCTGGGTAACAGTGAGCTATTCTTGGCCCTCTCTATGGGATCCCAACTTCTCTACCCATATCCCATGGGCTCCCTTCGGTCTCACATTCTGCACCCCATGCTGAAACCTCTTCCTCCTGCCTCACTAGATCAGATCAGAGGGGAAATAAGAAGAGAAGGAACTGGCCATGCAGCTGTGCCTTAGCATTTTATTTCCTTATCATCGTATTTCCTTAGTTACGGCACATTTCCATTTATGGAGTACTTTCCCTTATAAAATCTCCCAGTGTTCACTTCTAATCTACTAAATAATTCCTCTGGCCTCTTCTTGTTTTCACCCTTTAAATATATGTTGATGGTTCATTCGCCACATTCCCCATTCAGTTATTAATGGCCCACAAAAACTCACTAGCAGCAATCATTTACTGATTAATCTACATAACAATCCAGAAAGACAGGTAGTATTAATCCTTAGTCCTGCAGGGGGAAGCCAAGGGGAAAAGGCAGGTTAACTCAGTTGCCCAAGGTCAGTGGCTAAACAAGATTACAACCAGGACTAACCTGTCCTGCTTTTCTATAAACACTTCCCACAGTGCTGCTATCCTCTTTTAAAAGTCAACATTGTCTATGCAGCTTGATAATTTTTGTGCTGAAATTCCATTGACACAGACTAGTTTAAAATTGTCAAAATTTACTCAGCAATAATTTTAACTGCTAATTATTCATGAATAAAATTTGCTAAAATAAAGAGATTATTGTACTTGAAATTTTACAGAGGCAAAAAAACAGAAGTGAAAAGATCTGGATTTAGAACCAACTCCACCACTATGAAACTGAGAAAATCGCTTAACTTCTCTATATCTCTGTGTCATCTGTAAAAATGAGATTATGCTAAATGATATTTAAAATATCTTGCTGTTTTAAATAACACGATTGAGTGCCCACTAAAACAGCACAAAATATAAATGCTCCAACATCCAATGCTGCCAAGACCAGGGTAGAATTGGTAGCCATACATTTATTCACTACAAGTGAAGCACACAGCCTCAGTGCCCTTGGAAAGCAAGATGCCAACATGCAGCAAAAACCACAAAGAATTTCATATCCTTTGACTTAGCAACTTAAATATAGCATTTTTCCCTAAGAAATAAATCAATGGAAACAAAACAACATACACAAACAAAAACACACATTTCAGTGCTAGCTACCAGAGAAAAAACTGACATCAGTTTAAATGCTCAGTTTTAGAGAGATGTCTTATTAAAGAAAGGCATAGCCAACCATATGAATGCCCTGCTGCTATCAAAAAGGACAAATATGAAAATTGTGCAAAAACACTTTAATTCTTACCAGTAAATACTATTAAATGAAAACAGCCAAAAGTCAAGGAGCAGATATGTACTTAGATGTCAACCATATAAAATATGAATAGATAAGCAAAGTCACATGAAAAATCAAAATAATTATGTTATTAGTTGTTTATTGCTTACAATTCTAAAATATCATCTTTCCATTAACACATACATCTTATCATTTAATCAAACATTAAAAAATTTTTCAAACCCTGCTTTAGTTTGATGGAAAACAAAACTGCAAAGTTTTTGCCTAAATCTCCCAAGTTATTTTTGTTGGCTGACATATTATTGATGCTGTAATGCTCCCAGAGTGATGTCTGCTCTTTACTATATAATTATTTACATCTTTAGAGATTCTAAAATCTCAGAACACTTGCACTTCTTTCCCTCTGAAAGTGGAACCAGGATCCAACATTTTACAGTAACTCTGACCTGTGGGTGCTTCCATAACAACCAGAAAGTTTCTATTAACCCTTTTACAGAACACAGGGCAATTTCATATCCCAAGTTTTCAGTTTACAGTAATACATCTGATGTTTTCAGGGGCCTTAGAACACCCTCCAGCTTGCTTAGAAAATCTGCTCCCAAGTAGCACTATGCTATAGGAACTTTGCTTCGTAGAAGGACTTTTATATTCCCCTTCATTTTAGAAATGTTCTCTTACTAGTAGGTCATTTGTATATCTTTGCTTATAATATCTGGGAAAGATTGCAGAGCCAATGAATTAAAAATATGATTCTAGGTCTCCTGTGTGCCAATGCATGCCCTCATTAAAGCAGAATCAGTGAGATGAGATCGGTTTCAAAGCTTTCCATCCCTTTGCCCCAGAGCCGCCAAGGCCAGGCACTGAAAGGATGCACAGTAAAATTAAATATCTAAAAATTCATCTTTAATTAACAGAATTGGATTAAAGCTAGACACCACCGCATATCATACAAGAAATGGCTGAGCTGGCTTCCAAGTGCTCTAATTCAATTAGGACGCAGTGAGTGACACTCAGACGGGAAAGGTTAATTGGGGCCGCCAGAACGCAATCATTCCTTACCTAACCAGTCATTAAACTTCTTAACCTCTGAGGGCAGTCCCAGCTCGGTGAAATCGCCTGTGTGGAGAAGGATGTCCCCATAAGGCATCTGGATACCATCTGTTCTGGAGTGTGTGTCTGAGATGCAGACAAACCGCGTGTGGCCCGCTGGTTTTGGAGTGTCATATGGGATGGGGTCGACCCTAAAGTAGACATAACAGATCCCATAACAGTTAAACATATTAGAACCCTTGAAATTGTCATCACACATACATATTTATTGTTATTCGTGAACACATCCAGACAAACTGATGCAAAGGCAGAAGGGCCCATTGTAATAAAGGACACTTCTGGGTATAAAGGAGACAGCATCACTCATCTACAAAACCACTGGGCAAATTCAAAAAGACTTACTTACCTGGTAGGAAAATTAAAAGGAAATAATATCTTACATATAGAGTTGAAATAACCCAGGAAACAGAGTAATTAATGGTGAGGTTTAGGGATATTGAACCCCAACTGGGGAAGCAAAATTATGCTATTTCTCTCTCATCATGCTCCAATTGATCCCACTACTCATTAGGAAATGGATAACTAATTTATTCCTTCTTAAACATGCATAACTTAAGCAATGAACTAATTTACAGAGAGCAGTCTGCACATGCTCTGCCAACTGAGATGTGAAGAGAGAGCAGTTATATTTAATTTCCTTTCCACAACCATTCAACACCTGTATCTTCTTGTTTTTGCTAAGAGATTCACAAATCAAACTGTAGGGAGGGAAGGTGATGCCAAAATAACAGGGCTTTGAAAAAGGGAAAAAAAGACGCTGGATATTAAAAGAGCTTTGTCAAACTCATTTTGACCACGATGAATTATCTGCAGTCCCAGTTATACCTGACGTTACTAGGAATGCTCAAGTGCCTTGGGCAAAGAATATATTCAGTGCAAATATTAAGCCTTTTAATGGGATGTATATATCTACATATGCCTTAATATATGTATAGTTTTAGAGACCTAAGCACTATGAAATTACACCAGGGCATAAGAATCAAAAGGCAAAATGATCAACCCGAAGCAAAGAAAATGAAACAGAACATTCTCATTTAATTGAGTGTAACAAAGTGTACTAAATAAACTTGGTAAAGAAATGCAAATCTGACTCTTCAAGCATACAGTTTTAATTATTTAAGGGGTTTGTCGCTGAGTTAAGGAAGCTTTAACTATATTAACTCTACACTGACAGCTTCCTTTCTCTGTAGGAATGTACACTTACTTTTGGATTATAGGTGAAAATAAACAGTTATAAATGCAAAGAGAAGGTCACAAGAGAAACAAATATGCAGTGCAGAGATTAGAGTGTGAAACGTTAAATAAGGAACAATATTTCATATCCCAGCCTCAACCCTTGATAGTTAACATGCAGCAGTGAACACACTAAAAGCTCCACACAAGACTCCCTAAACATATTGCCTCTACAGGCTTTGTTTAATTTGTTTTCTCTTTTCCTTTTATATTTTTAAAAGAAACAATCTGTTTTAACAACGACAATTTCAGTGAGGAAAATAGAAGACATCAGTGTGCAACCTGGATAGTCTCACATTTCTTCAATAACCTTTTTATTTCCTCTTATCTGTGTCGGAGAAGAAGGAAAGTAAGAGGGGCAAGAAGAAGGAAGGGCAGAAGAGAGGGGTGGAGGAAGGAAGGAACTATGAACTTTACAGTGGGTCTAATTGGAAGCCCAAAAGGAAAGTTTAATTTCTGCAAAAAATTAATGGATTTTACCTGATAGAAATGTTAGAAATTAATATGCTGTTACAACATAGAAAATTCACTAATCTACTGAGATCTCATCAGTAACCTGGAAACCCTCCTCCTTAGAGCAAATGTTGCTTTTTTAGATGTAAAAATGTTTGGTGTCTTCCTTTCCATCACCGAGACTTGGTTATACTCAGTCTCAGTGCTTACAATCTTAACATTTCATGTCTTCGAAAAGTAGTTTTCCCGGTGAATGGCTGACTGTTCCCTACTGAGGCTGTGTCTCTCTAAGTGGTAAGTAATATTCCTATACCAACAGTTAAATGCTCACTAGAATGGAACTGTTTGCATTTATACTTAATGTACCAACATTTGAATGAAAATTTAATAAATCAACCAATGTATCTCTAAATATATGAATAAATGTAAAATCTATCTATTCTAGTGTTTCTTTGTTTTCTTTTATCATACTACTAACATATAGACCAACCCCAGTGCTTCTTTTCTGTAACTCAGCTAAGCTACAGACCCAGATACTGCATCAAAATCCTTTGGGTGGCCATCTCAGCTTATCAGAGAGACATCATTGTCATCATTTTGAATTAGACTGGAAATAGCAAAAATGTAAACCTCTTGCTGTGAACAGGTCCCTCTTCTATGAATCTACCCACTTTAGAGTAGCCAGTCATCACATGGTACATAATTGATTCCCCATCTTGGCTCCATACTGGGCAATAAATTTTCTGACATTATGGGGAACACCAGGCAAATTCTGAATCTCTTCAAGCTCTTTCTCCACCTCCCACCTCCTTCAGAGAAACGTTTAAACATCCAAAGTCCAAGGAATAGTAGAGTGGAGGGAACTGTAAAAAGGAGAAAAGTGTTTCTTCTCAGCTTTGAGCTAAAATAATAAGTATTTCTTCTAAGCTTTGAGTCCAAAGTAGACAGCAAGACAAACAAAGAAGCCTCGCCCATCAACATCACCACCATGATGCCACCAAAGAGAAACAATCTGTAGACATTAGGGAGAATGCACAGAGGATTGATTCAAAGCAGGAGATAGGGGAAGTGAGGTGTATATAGATGCATATGAAAATTTATGTAGATCCCCTGACCCAGAAGTGCTGAGAATCTTTGTTTTCCATAGGACTAAGTACAGAGCAAGAGATGGTTTCAGAAGAGAAGCCAGTGCAACGCGCCAAAACCACTCAGTAAGATAGTATGACAAATATCACCTAGAGCTAATAGGAAGAAGACATTCCCCGCCTCCCCTCCCCCCAACCACGGGCATTCAGAGTTGAAAATAAGACCTCTAGTAGAGTGGACAAATTCCAGTGGAGAGCATTAAAACTGAGACCACCCTCAGGAAACTACTCCTCCCAAATTCAGCATTTGATAAACACCTTGAAAAGTGATGACAGCCAAACATTTTCACTATAAAAGTACATCTAAGGGAGACCCTGACTGCTATGGAAGATCCTATCTGATCACGTTGTGTGAAGACCTTCGAACTACATTTTCATCCTTAGTTTACAACTTTGCCACTTGCTGTTTGTGCTGCTGAGTTCTCAAATGACATAACATTTCCCCCAAGGCAACATGTCAAATATCCTAGCAAGTGAATATCTTACCATGGCAATCTAAACCCCAGAGCCAGATTCAAATATGAGAGTGAGATTTGCACATATGTTTGAGTACACCTGGGGGAAAACAAGATGACACGGGAAGATGAGAAGAAAACACAACAACATAAAATCCCAGAGCAGGACAAAACCTTATGGGGCATCTGGTTCAACGCTTTACATGATGCCTGAATCTCCTCTATCCCTTCCCTCTAGATGACATAATGTTTTGTGTTTGGTTGGTTTGTTTTTTGTTTGTTTGTTTGTTTGAGACAGGATCTCACTCTGTCACCCAGATTGGAGTACAGTGGTGCAATCATAGCCTACTGCATCCTTGGCCTCCCAAACTCAAGCGATCCTCCCACCACAGCTTCCAGAATAGCTGGGATTATAGTCACGGGCCACTGCACCCAGCTTATTTTTCTTGTTATTATTAGTAGTACAGATGAGTTCTTGTTTTGTTGCCCAAGCTAGTCTTGAACTCCTGGACTCAAGTAATCTTCCCACCTTGGCCTCCCAAAGTGCTGAGATTATAGGCATGAGCCACCCTACCTGGCCTTAATTTTCATTTCAAGATTTCCAGAGAAGGAGAGCTCCTTCTGCCCCCTGTGCAACCCATTCTGGTTTTTGATAGCTTTACTTGTCAGAAAGTCAGATTCTGTCCCCCTAAGAAAGCTAAGCATGGTCCAAAGACTTTGGCCTGGAACCTGAAGACTGAATAATAATTTTAACTTAGTCATTGGCTTTGAGCAACTTCCTTGATTCCTTTAAACTTCATTTTTTCTCATCTGTAAAATGGGAATAATAATGCCTAATTTGCTATTTGCTACGAGGATATAAACTATCAAGTACATTTGACACACAACAAATGCTCCAAAAATGGAGCAGCAGAGCAGTGTAAGGGTGAAGGATGTTTGGCTGTAGAGCCAGACTGCCTGGCTCTGAAATCCACTCAACTTATTAACATGCAACTCCAAGCAAATGGCTTAACCCTTGTGCCTTGCTTCCCCCATCAGTAAAATGGATATAAATATAGTACCTATCTCCTAAGACTCTTACGAGAATAAAAAATGATAATGTACTCAAATCATTTAGAACAGTATCTGACATAAAGTAGATACCCAATAAAAGTTAGTTGTTTTTTTTTTTTTTTTTAAAAGTAACTAATAGTATTTTTACTACCATTAGTAGTAGTGTCATTTAACTTTTCTGATCTCCATCTCTTTGTCTGTTATAGGGAGATAATAACAGCTATCACTCAGGGACTTTGTGAGAATTAAAAGAAATCATATACACAACATGCAGCATATGCTGGGAGCAGAGTCCATGGTCTTTAATATATTTGTGTCCTGCTTGTCCTTCCTCCTTAATCCTAGTTCTGCCCTCTGAAATCACAAGAAAGTAAGAATCCAGTCCCTTTTCCATCGGACAGTTTTTCAATATTTGAAAACAATCTATTATAATCCCCTGAAATAATCTCCACTCTAGTTGAGTAGCTACAGTTTCTTCCATTTTTCCTTGTGTGATAGGATGGCTAATGTTCTCAGAATTTAGGTGATTTCCGCCTATATGTAATTTCATTGGTGAGAACGCCTCCCTTTGTAGTGTCAGAATTCATGGTCTGTGTGAATTCATGGACCAATGAGCTGTTCATCAAAGACAGATGCTATTCCAGGCCATGGGGAGGTGGCAGTGCTGAACAAACTGGCAGATTTTTCTAGAGAAGGCCCAAGCTATCATGTTAAACCATTTTCCAATTAACTCTTCAAGTTTTATGCCAAGCTTCCAATTCTGTTCTTAAAGCCTTATCATCAAATGCTTAT